GACCAAAAAAAAAAAAAGTAAATATACAAAAATAATTGAAAATAGTGACAAAAATTTAAGCATAGTAATAAGCACAGAAATATTTCTAGTATCAAAATAGGAAATATCTACTTTTCCTTTCGAACAAGTATTTATCACCTACTACATTTGAGGCAAAATGCTGGATACTGAGCTACAGCAGTGAACTAGATGTGCATTATCCAAGGAAGTCAGAATCAAGCTGGCAGGACAGGGAAAGTAGAAAGAACAAAAAGGCTAAAAAATAAAAGCAGGTGCTGTGTGTGTGTGTGTGTGTGTGTGTGTGTGTGTGTGTGTGTGTAAAACTTGTGGGAGTCATTTCTCTTTCTGCTTGTGGGTCTCAGGGACTGAATTCAGCTTATCAGGCTTGGCAGCAAGGGCCTTTTACTCATTGAGCCATCTTACCAGCCCCTGCATCTGGCTTTTGTTCTTAAACTCAGGTCATAGGGATTTCCTAGCTAGTACTTTTACACGCTGAGCCATGGCCCCATCCCCACTGGTACTATTTTATACAGGCTAATTAAAAAGTTTCCCAGAATCACTTTATGGTTTTAAAACAGCAGATTAAATTATCCATTAAAATCTGTATGTAGGGCCAGCCATGGTGGCTCACACCTTTAATACAAGCAGAGGCAAGCAGAAGCAGATCTTTGTGAAATCAAGGCCAGCCTGAACTACATAGCGAGTACTAGGCCAGCTGTGGCTATAGAGAGGCCTTATATCAAAAAGAAGACCAAATATAAATAGATTATAGATAGATGATGATAGATAGAGACAGACAGACAGACAATCTGTATGTAACTGGGTATGGTGATGCACACCTGTAATCACAGCACTCAGGAAGCTCAGGTAGGAGGATTACAAGTTTGAGGCCAGCCTAGGTACACAGCAAGACCCTTCCTCAAAAAACAGCAACAATGGCTGGTGAAATCAGTAAAGAATGCTTGCTGCTCAGTCATGAGGATTGGAATTTGGATTCCAGCACCCATGTCAGGTGGTGCAAGGGATCTGATACCCTCTTCTGGCCTCTATGGGCACCCACATACATATGTGCACATATATTCATATATACACACACTAATAAAATTTTTAAATAGAAAAACCAAAACAAAAAAAATTGATGCAAACATTTAGTTCCATAAAAGATATCTCTTTCCTTTTCCTATATACTGTCATAAGCTTTAAGTTAGATAAACCAGCTCAAACTTCAAACTTGCCTTTTTTTTTTTTTTTTTTTTTTGGAGGGAGTGTCTCCCTGTAGCTTCAGCTGACCTGGAACTTGTTATGTAGACCAGGCTGGGCTTGAACTCACAGAGATCCACCTGCCTCTGTCTCCCAAGTGCTGGGATTAAAGGCGTGCTCAAACCTGCCTTTTAATGATCTTTTCCTTTTATTGTTTTCTTACCTGAGTTGCTCTATTTTCTCTGAAGTAATAGGACCCTTCCCAATAACTTGGTCTATCTCCTTGTAGAACTTCTTTTGAACTTCTTCAGAGGTTGTCAGAAAACAGATTGCCCAGGTACACACTAGGTGAAAAATTTGTTAGTAAAAATGAAATGAACTACTTCATATTTTTTGGCATAAAATAAGAAAAAAACACAACTAATGCCTTGGGCTGTAAATTTTTTTTTTCCTGATAGAGATGATACATAAACATTATCAAAAAGTAAAACAAAATTCTTTACAAGATCTATATTTCTTTGAATAGAGCATGAATATTTATACAAGGTTGCCAAAATATGTAGTATACTCTGGATGCTTTCTAAAAACTGGCAAGTAACTTACCCACTTAGAGCATTTCACCTAAGGTAAATAACAAACCCATACATAAGGGAGCAATCATCACAATTCTCTGATGAACATCCAAACTAGAAGATCACTGGCTCGTGGCTTGGTTTTGTTTTAGAATGGTCTTTGGATTATTTTTACAGAAGAAATAGAAATGTGAGAAAATTGCATAATGCACATAAAACAGGAAATAAAGTTTATTAGCTTCCTTCAGGAATCCATGGTGTATAACAATATTTAAATTAAGAACCATTCCAATATATATGATCTTTCTTTTATGCTTGAGTTAACATTATCTACAGCTCTATTTTTCTATGCCAGATGTTGTAATAAGCTTACAGTAATTTTTGACTCTATTTATCAATTATCTTTTTTTCTAGGCTAAGGACTAACTCAAAGTTAATTTTTAATTTTATTTATCTGACAGTGATGGGGATCAAACCAAGGGTCTTGTGCATGCAAGACAAGTGTTGTAACACTGAGCCATACGTATAGCACCCAAAGTTAATGTTTTTGAAATGTCTGCATAAATTTCATTTAATCTAGACTTATCTAGATGTCAAAGAAATTTGTGGGGCATTTGTATTTACCATCCTTAAAAAAATTTCCATAAGCAGAAGTCCTTAAAGCAAACATGAATTTTTCTATATTTTACACTGGTATTCTCATACTTCCTGGATGCATTTTAATCTTATATATTTTTATGTCTATGGATATTTTGTAACTACTGATTAATAAATGGTACTCCACTAATCTACAAACCAGTTAGGATCACACATTTTAGAATTTATTTTTTAAATTTCTGTGTGTGTGTGTGTGTGTGTCTATGTCTATGTCTGTATCTGTGTGCATGCATGCATGCAGATGCCAGAAGAGGGCATCAGATCCCTTGAAACTGAAGTTACAGACAACTGTGAGCCACCATATGGGTGCTGGGAATGGAATTTATGTACTCTGCAAGACCGGCCAGTGCTCTTTACCACTGAGCTGCCTCTCCAACCCCACATTTTAGAATTTTAAATAGAAATCATCTTCAATTCCATGAGAAAAGATCTTTCAAATCATGGTTACTGTGGCCTACATTTGCCAGCCTGGAATCAAGAAAAAGCAGCAGCGGAGAAGCTGGGGTCGTTACTCAGTGGCAGGAGGTTTACCCAGCATGCATGAGGACTTGGATTTAGCCCCCAGTACCAAAGGGAGGAGGAGCAGCAGTAAGAAAAGGAAAGGGTCATTGCTCACCTGGGATGGTGTTAATAGCAGTTCATTTGAAAGACTAACTAGAATTCACAATCCATAAAATGTGTTAAGAAATTTATGGCAATTTTCAGAGTTGGAATCAAATACTTGGGGGAAAAAAGACACCTGTGTAAATCAGGCTTTTTAACAAGAATAAAAAGCAAAGAAGGGAAACTATAAAGAGGTCTTGAAGTACTTTTTCTTTTAGAATAGATTTATCATTATATATTTGTAATCCATCTAAAAAAGAAATCAATTTATACTTACACTTTGCAGTTATTATACAACCAGCCAGAGAAAATATCATACTGTCTTCTAAGATCTACAAACAAAACTAGGTTTAGAAACCATGAAATATAAGATGGCCTTTATTAAGCCTTACAAAATAATTTAGAGTATAAAATTAGGGTTAACAAAAAGAGGGTGAAAATATACTTCTTTACTGTGTCTTCACTAAAAACAAAATCTGCATAATGTGAGAATCAATTAAACACTCCACTGCCTTTAAAAAAATGTGTTAGTTTTACCTCACCTTTTCTTTTTTTTTAATTAAATGTGTTCTCTGAAAATTTCATACATGTATACGATGCATTCCAGTTACTCCCACCTCCCACCCTTCCTATCTCCCTCCCACCCATCGTCTGTGAAGCCTACCTTGCACTGCCTTCTTGACGCAACAGATACTTATTTGTTAGCAATCTTTTTTTTTTTTCTTTTGGTCTTTTTGAGACAGGGTCTCCCTGTAGCCCCAGCTGTCCTGGAACTCACTATGTAGACCAGGCTGGCCTTGAACTCACAGAGCTCTGCCTACCTCTACCTCCAGAGTGCTGGGGTTAAAGGTGTGCACCACCACGCAATCTTTTTAAAAAAAATATTATTATTGCTAAAAATTATGTATATGTGTGTTCGTCAGTGTGGGGAGATGTGCACATAAGTGTAATGCATCAGATGCCCCTGGAATTGGAGTTACAGACTATTGTGAGCCACCTGATATGGGTGCTGGGAATCAAACTTGGGTCCTCTGGAAAAGCAGTAAGCACTCTTTAACTGCGAAGCCATCTGTCCAGCCCCTTGTTAGTAACTTACATATTATACTTTAACCAACAAATCATGAAAAGTCCTGTTTTTCAGACTTGGCCTGGTACAACAACAAAGCCTTAGGAACAGGAGAGACGTGCCTGCCACTGTCCTTGGAACTTGATTCCATTTCTACATACACATACACCCAGAAACCCATTTCTGCCTACCAAATGTGCCGTGCTGGAATTCTTTCGATGAAGTGGTGTGGCAAAGACTCCATTCCTGACCTTTGCCTGACAATACCACTGTATCATGCTGGTGTACCAGACAAGCACTGGAAACAAAGCCCTGTTGCCAGACTTGGTCAGGCAGGCAGAAGGCTTAGTCCATTAAAGCCTACACAGGTTCTTTTCCTCCTGTATGATGAGAGAATTTTGGCTTAATATTTGCTTATCCAAATTTTAAATGATATATAGCTACTTCAAAGTGCTAGCCAGCAGGCGACTAACTACCTGAGCTACTTATGATATAATAAAAGAGAAGTCACTTAATTCTCAGAGGCCATGTAGACTACAGTGAAGGAAAGAAACTCTACAATGGGATTTTTTGTTATTGTTTGTTTTGCGATAGGGTCTCACTATGTAGTATTGGCTGTCCTAGAACTCGCTCAAATTCATGGAGACCTGCCTGCTCTAACTCTCGAGTTCTGGGATTAAAAGAATACACCACCACCACCACACCAAACATATGTGTGATTTTTTTATTTCATAAACATTTAATTAAAAAATTTTCATTTATTTTTATTTTATGTGTATGAGTGTGTTGCCTGCATGTATGTAAGTACACTCATATTGTGCAATGCCCATAGGGGCCAAAAGAGGGTGTCATCGGATCTCCTGGAACTGGAGTTATGAAAGGTTATTAGCTTCCACGTGGGTGCTGGGAACCGAACCCAGGTCCTCTGCAAGAGCAGCCGGTGCTCTTAGCCACCCAGCCCCAACATTTAATAATTTCATCACCTGTTGCTCAGTAAGATCTCCTTGCACTAAGGAGTCAATGAAAATATGTTCACTGAAGTTCCTTCCTTTTCGTTCCTTTATGATTTTCTTTAAAATAGATTCCAACTGCATAAGGGCTTAAAGAAGAAAATTTGGAAAGAACTTTAGAATACAAGTATTCATGGAGATTAAACTTTCTAAAAGTAATTCTGTGCAATGTTGTATGGGGAACAAAACCTCTGAAGATAGTAACCAACAAATTAAAAAGCTAATTTATATTTAAATTTGTTTCTTTTTTTCCATCTTGTTGCTAAATTTAAGATACATAGTAAAAAGTGCCCAAAACACATAAGTACAGCTCAAGTAGTGATTGATTTTAAAGCAAACACCCATATCACTAGTATCCAGGTGAAAAAATAAAACCATGCCAATATCATTTGGCCTCCAAAAACACAAGAGGCTACAAATACTAATCCACCTTTCAAATTCTGTCTTAAGTCCATTGCTTCTCTCAACTCAAGTACTGCTGACTGAGAAACAGAAATATGAAATAACCAAAAAGGTAGATTCTGAAACCTAAAAGGCATAAATAACTGACAACTAATGGTCACTAAAACTATTTCAAGATTTATTTCTGCCCTTATCTGAGTTAACCCATTATGCCATTTCCTTACTCTCCAGAAAATATTGCTTCTAGGACCTAGATGCTTCTCTTTGTATCTCTTTCTCTCCTCTCTCCCCCAACCTACAGGACCTAAATGCTTCTCTTTGCTTCTCTCTATCCTCGACAGGGTCTTGATCTCTGTTCTCAAGATTTTAAATCTATGAGCCGGGAGTGGTGGCACAGGCCTTTAATTCCAGCACTCAGGAGGCAGAGGCAGGCAGATCTCTGTGAGTTGGAGGACAGCCTGGTCTACATAGTCAGTTCCAGGAGAGCTGGGGCTACAGGGAGACCCTGTTAAAAAAAAAAAAAAAAAAAAAAAAAGATTTTAAACCTATCTACCTACCTACCTACCTACATACCTACCTACCTATCTCTATAAAACACTTTCAAAATTTTATTGGTAGTCAGGTTCTCTTTCTTCCAAACTTCAGATTCATATATTTAACAATAAATTCAACAAATCTACTTAGATGTCAAAGCATGTAAAACATATCCAACATACTGAACTCATTTCAGAAAACATGCATCTTCCCAGTCTTTCTCATCTTATTTAGTAATATTTTTTACTTACTCTGGCCAAAAACACTATTATATACTCTTTTATATTTCATAGCTAATGTTGATGGTTCTGTCTTCAAAATACAGAATTATCCTCTAACTCCTTTCTTGTTGCTGCTCTTTATGTCCCCACCCACATCCAACTCCCCCAACCCCTGTTCAAGTTGTACTCTCTTGCTTCATTTTAAGAGCTCCCAAATCACTCCCCCTGCTTCTGCTCTGGGACCTTTGCCTATCAGAGGCAGTGATTTGAAAAAATATATAACTTAGATCACAACAGCTCAAACCGCCTACTGACTTCCTATGTCATAGTAGCAACCTAGTCACATGCTTGTAAGTCATACAAACTCTGCACCTCTCTCCAGTCTTTCTGACCTCATCTCCATCTGCTTATCTTGTAATCTGTGTCAATGTAGCCATACTAGTCTCAAATACACCAGGAATCATTCCACCTCAAGACTTCGCAGTTATCTCTACATGGAATACTCTCCTTTGGGCATCCAGGTATGCACATGGTCTGCCTGACTGGGTTCCCCATCTCTTATCACCCTCTCCACCCTTCATTCTATACCCCTGCCTGTCTTATTTTACTCCATAGCAGTTTTCTCTTTTCACACTCTATTAATAGGTTTACTGTTTTGGGTCATTGTGTTCTGATTCCAATAAGGTGGCACAAGGGCAAGAATTTTTTGTTTGTTTGACGTTTTTATTCACATATACTTGACACAATAAATTGCATGTTTTAGGTATACAGTTTTCTGAAGTTTTTTGTAGGGGGTGTCTTTTTGAGACAGGGTTTTCCTGTAGCCCCAGCTGTCCTGGAACTGACTATGTAGGCCACGCTGGACTTGAACTCACAGAGATCCACCAGCCTCTGCCTCCCAAATACTGGGACTACAGGCGTGCACCACCATGCCCAGCTGAAGATTTTTTTCTTTTAAAGAAAATTAAGCTTTTTGTGTGCGTGTGTGTTTTTGAGACAGGGTCTCCCTGTAGCTCCAGCTGTCCTGGAACTCACTGTGTAGACCAGGATGGTCTTGAACTCACAAAGATCCACCTGCCTCTGCCTCCCAAGTGCTAGGATTAAAGGCATGCGCCACCACACCAGGCCCCTATTTTTTTAATTTTTAGTTTTTATTTTATGTGTATGTATGTACTGCCTGCATGTAGGTAAGTGCACCCAGGTCATACAATGCCTGCAGAGGTCAGAAGAGACTATTGGATCCCCAGGGACTGGACTTACCAACAGTTGTTAGCTGCCATGTGGGTACTGGGATTTGAACCCAGGTCTTCTGCAAGAACCACTAGCGTGTTAACTGCTGAGCCATCTCTCCAGGCTCTTTGAAGTTTTTTCATTTGTGACTTTTAAGAAATTATTTATTTAATAACCACATAATTAGAAGAAGCATATCATGAAAACAGCATTGACATATGCAATAAAAATTTCCAGAGCTAAGATGCATCTGTTTCAAAACTGGCTGTAAATTTTTAGGTTTACAGTTGAATTAATACAGTTATGCAATATTGTACTCAGTATAAACCCTTTAAGACAAAAAATTAAATGAGGTTTTAACCTTTAAAAATGATCTCCATTTCATTATTAAAATACACAGTTT